GAGCTCAAAAAACTAGTATCCATTGGCTCCATTCAGAGCTCCATTGGTTCCATTCGCAGCTCCATTGGGCTCCATTGCCAACCCTGTGATACACCCCAATAAGGCATGCCCATGCCCACCGTGCCCACCCTATTGGTAACGCTAGATCTACGCTAGATCAGTTGATTGATAATCCTGCCACTGCCATACTGATCTGCAAACACCTAATTTATTTTCGAAATATATGTGTATAGTATATAAATAAAATTTAAAATACATTTTATATTCATCTTTTTATAAAATTCGAATCAAAAGAAATTTTCTTATAATTTTATATACAAAATTAAGATATGTCAATTTATTTGACCAAAATCTTGCTAGTAGACCCTTTGCATGTTGACTGACTGTTACTATAACGATAATGCCGTTCTAAAGAATTAGTATATTTTTCCGAAACTATATAATTTTTTTATAACAATTTGTGAATATAGTTCGTTAATTATAATAATAAAAAAAAAGCATACTAATTTGTAAAGAATAAAATAAAGACAACACACAAAAGATGAGCATTGGTTTTGTAGACAACATCGCTTTGGAATGTTATATAATGTGTAAATAAGCATTGATTCAAGCATGCAATAATTAATTAAAATTGGAACGTTTACGAATTATTTTTCCCTAACGGATAATGAACTTGAGGCATTCAAAATGAAACCTTTATAAGTGTAAAAAACAAAAACAATTTTTTTCGCACAAATTCAATAGCTCAGCTTATTAATAAAATATTATCTATTTTTCGTGAATTCTACGAGTAAGATCGTTACTACGAACAAGTTTACTTAATGCACAAAAATTAGTTATTAAAAAAAGAAAAAAATCGAGCTTAGTATGCAGCGAATTTAGTTTCAGAAATTTCTGCTGTAATAGTTTTTATGTTACATTACTGATGTCCACATTCACGTGACTAACAAAACTTCACTACGCACTGGGGCTGTTATAATCAACCTCGGAATCATATAGATTAATGAATTCGTCTTCATAATCAGACGAGTCTGATCGTGTTGTCCTATCAATTGTCACAACGTCAATTTCTTCATCTTCGTCTTCAAACTTTTGACTTTTATTATATTGTACGGACTGGACTTCTTCGTTCACAATATCAAATTCATCTTCTCTTTCCTCATATACTATATTGTCATGAATTTCTGTAAAGGCGGGGTCCCAGTTAACCCAATCTTCTTTGTGCCGCGTTGTCCATGTATGCATTGCCCCTTGTTCGTCCACTGACACAATAATTGGTTGTACTGGGTGTTGGGCAAGGTCTACTAGGTTTTCATATGGTCCCTGCAGCGTTTGAACAAGTCTAGTGGTTCTTATGTCCCATATGAATATTTGATGCGTCGCTAATTTAGCGGAGCCTTGAAATAAAATAAATAAAATAATATAAAATGAATAATCAACGTTCATAAGCAAAATTATTATTATAAATAATATACTAACCTCCAATTACATATTCTCCTCCTTGGCTAAAACAGCATTGATTCCAACTATTCTTATTGACTGTTTCCGCGAATTGCAGCTCTGAATTATGTATTCCTTGTTCATCCAACCAATAAAGACGAATCGTTTTGTCCTGAGTATGTACGACTACGTCTCTATTAAGATAAAATAAAGAAATCATCATCACTAAAAAAGAAGAATAAAGTATATAAATTATAATCGCATAAATGGTGAAAACTGAGTGCCAGTACGTACTTGCCGTTGCGACTAACAATTATATCTTTTATCGGAGAGTTGCTAATTTTGGGATTATGTAATATCTAAAAAGGAACAAAAAAAGAATAAGCAAAAAAATAAAAAATAAAAAATAAAAAAATAAAAATTGTTCATGAGTTAACTACCTTTCGAGTTTCGGGATCGATTACATTCAAATAACCTTTACTTGTTCCCGAGAGAATACGCGTGCCTCGTTTGTCATATCGACAAACAACTGTTTTACTATAGAGCGGATTATTATTGCCTATCATCAGTAACAAGTAAGTTTCATCCGACCATTTTAACAAGTATGTGCAATAGAACAGGAGAGTTTTGGAAGATTCCATACTTTATCGAATTGGTCGATTCTTCGCCGTTAATATTCGTGTCAGACGATGTATCTGCGTTTGTCGGCAGAGGATATCGCTTTATTGTATCGCCTATTTCCACTATAACCGGTGATTCTTGGGATAATGAGGCGACAAATATAGAACTATCATTGACGAATAAGTCACGAAATACTTAAATGAATTTTTCCAAGAAAAAAAAAAATAAAAAAACAGGCAGTAGATATTTACTAACTTGTTTTTCGGATGCATTTGTGCCATAATTACGTTACTGTCGAATCGTATCCATTTTTGGGTGCCTTTCTTTAGGTCCCAATAGACACATTTATTATCTTCACCACACGAAAGTATGCAGAGACCGTTACGTGACCAACTATACATAAAAAAAAAAAAAGGAAAAAAAAAAGGTTATTAATGAGTCGAAAATTAACCAGTTAGCTTGCGAATGGTTTCATTACGCGATGTGTGAGAAAGTTACCTTACGCTGGTTATCGAGGAGACATGACACTTCATTTTTCGAATCACGCTCATTGATTGAAAATCCCAAACGATACAGTAACCATCGCTACAACCGCCTGCTAACATCGTGCCTCGCTTATTAAAACTAATACAGCGAACTGGCCCATCTCTAATGGATGATTCGTATTTTGAGGGATAGTCTAAATCGAAAGGACCTGCGTATTTAAAGATCCGAGAAATGTATAGTGATTAACCAGAGCGCAACTACTGTATTGAAGAAGAAGTATACAATAAAATTAGTCAACTTACTTCGTAGTTCTAGGTTCATTATCCGAAGACTGTATTTTTTAAAAATGAATTCTATTTAAAAACGTTATTGATAAGAAAAATTTGAGAATGAATCATAAAGGTAAGAATGTAAAACTCCAGTTGCAATTTATACGTACGAATCTAATGCTCTAAATATAGTAATATACGTAGCACAAGAATAAACACTTGCCACGAAATTCAATGACTTTCTACACATATATATATAGTAATAGTATATACTGTATTATGCCGATTTATCGTAAAATACGCGTTCTCACCACATTTGACATAATTCGTTCCGCTTCGCGTGGTATCAATAGACACATTTAGGAACACAAGCCAGCAATTTGATCCTTTGCTACAAGTAAAAAAGGTTTTGGTTGTGATCGTACATTAGAGTTTAAGAAGTCAGTCGAGTTGAATTTGAAATAATTCCAAATAAGAAGGCAATGTAGTATGTTATAATCATCTAAAGGACAACGCTGAAGTGATTGGCCCGGGTAGATGGCCAAGATGTGCAGTGTAGTTACGAGAAAGAAGAATCTTTTTCTATAGGCCAACTGATCTTTCAAACCACAGACTCTCATTTTTTTCCATACCATTTAGGTACACTTGAGATGTTATCGAATGAGACCGTTCTTTAGTTAGAGTATTCAGACTTCCGTGATTTTAAGAATTTTTCATTGTTTAATAATGAAAAATCGCTGAAGGTCACTTCATTTTTACATTATACATAATTTTCGTTTTGACCTACATTGTGCTATCAAGCTTCCGAGAGAAATCTGCATGGAATAAAAAAGCCAAACCTGAAAATTAAATCATTCAATCATTAGCCAGATCGACAACGAAGAGAGTTAATTCATATAATTTTCATAAAACATTCGAATTCGAAAAATAGGGACAGCCATCGCCTTTTGAGGTAGGCCTAAGATTTAATTGTTCTCCCTATATTTTGTAGAAAAAATCAATCACTATGTTGGGGAAGTAATTGTCAAAATATTATGATCTTGTAGTGAAGAGAAGAATACTACACAGGCTTTCAGCGGTCTAGATATGTGTATGGCAACAATCAATTTACTAGATAAACTTGAAGAAATCGTTGTTTGGTAATAGGTATGATTAATGTTTCGGGCGATTACTTATTAAAATTCGAAATATTTCGTCGCAGCTATTAGGTATGAAATAGTTTGCACGAATCTACTTATTTATTTTTACCTAGCACAAATTGATCGGAGACTCGTAGATGAACTAAATAAGAACGATTTATTTTATCTTAACGGATAGAAAGTGTTATAAAGAATGAAAAAGAGAAATAAAAATATAAAAATATATATAATATACGAGTGCTGCAGAACGAAAACCTGTAACTGATCATAATGATTTACTATTGTCAGTTATGAGTTTTTGCTCTGCAGCACTCATACCGTATATTATCGAAAATAAGCAACTCCCCAGATTTTGGAGCCGAAAATTTGACGAAAGTTGTGTTTGACCGATAAACTTGGACCCGAATATAAGCAACCTCTTCACTTTAGCTTAAAAAAAGTCACTTTTTTGCAACATGTTGGTTGCTTATTTTCGGTAATATACAGTAATAAAAAAAATTTGTATTTAAATATTTTTATAATGATAAGATGTAATATACTTTAAAAAGCAAATCGCCATAAAAAATAAATTAATATAGGGGTCAGGTATGATTATTAAAATCGCTTTAGTAAATGCGAGTAATTAGCGATTTCTCTTTTATAACTATTTGATTTTTATATATTACCAGGAATCCAACACTATATGAAAATAATAGTAATTCTCCGTCGACTTTTATTATGAAATTTATACCCTTCGAGTGCGATCTACCATTTAACAATCGTTATGTCAGTCGATTACACACTTATTATCAAAGTTAGAATCAACTTAGATTACTTTTGGATTTAGTATCAACTTGGGTTGCATTTAGAATTCCTTTTCAACCTAAATCTCTAATAGTTCTATCTTGACATACGATGTATATACTGTTAACGTTTAATAATCACGATGTTCAATATCTAATCACTAAGTTAAAGAGTTCAAATTCCTAAAAACTTTTTGATGGCTTGAACAATTATTCTATGTTCTACCGAGTGAATTCGTTCCTCTAAATCCTCCAAAGTATCAGATTCAAATATTGGAACTTCTTCAATTATTAGCGGTTCCCCCTTGTCAACTTCTGGAACTACTTTATGAACCATAACTCCCGTTTTTGTGATTTCTCCCCTTTTAAATGCCTCATAGGCTCGTTTGATAGCATTTATTCCATCAAATTGGCCTGGTAGCGCTGGATGTAAATTAATGATATTATCATTAAAATGATCTATAAATTCTTTGGATAAAACATGCATCCACCCTGCAAGAGCGATTAAATCAGGGTTATATTCTCTAACTTTATTGGCCAAATCTATATCATATTCTATACGAGTTTTTCCGGCGTCTTTATAAGGTTTCAAAGGAAAAACAAGCGTAGGAATTCCGGCTTTTTCGGCACGCGTTAAACCGTAAGCGGACTTTTTGTTAGAAACTACCAAATCAATTTTACATTCGAGGGTTCCTGATTGTACTGAGTCAATTATTGCTTGAAGATTAGAACCATTTCCAGATATGAAAACGATAATATGTCGTAGCATTGTTTTGTTAATGTTAATTGTGAAAACGTGTTTGGAATATTTATAATTTATAGATTCATTATGAACTTGTCAGCCAATCAGATAGCTGATATAAAAATATTTATTCGACACTTAATTCGCGCCTTGAAACAACAATGGCTCATAAACATCCTGAAGACTTTTCAAAGATTTTAGATGACTTAATTTCAGAATTGGAAATAATCGAGAAAAGTGGCATTGAAATCTTTAGTCAAATGTTCGTAACTTTTTTTTTTAAAAAAATTTGTTTTATGGCTTCCATATTAACTAATGAACATTATTAACAAATAGAGAAAATTCATTTTCATATCCATGCCAAATTTCTTCCATAGCAGGTAACTACAAACTTTTCCTTTGATATGCACTTATGCTCATTATATTATATTATACTTCTTACCTTATATCAACATCAAATAACAGCCGAACTAAGTACTCTTCTTGCAGCAATCCAGCATTTTGAAAGCCGTGCACGTTCTAATGGAATAACAAGCCTTTGTACAACTTCTGATCAAGTTGATGCAACTTCTACAACAAATACACCTATGACAAAACAAAGGCTAAGTACTATGATTGATGAAAGAAAATTAGCTGCGGATGAATTGTCTAAAGAATCAAAACGTATCGCCGATAATGCTAGAGCCGAATTATTAGGTTAACAAATTATTTAATCAAGCTTTAAACGTTTCTATAAACATCTATTTTTTAACGTGCTTGTCGAGTAATGTACTTTATAAGATTTAAATACATTATATTGTTCACATTAAAAATGATTTTAAATTTGTAAACATTTAGCAAAATTATAAATAATAAAATTAGTTGAAATTGTACTATGAAATAAAAGTAGCTTCGCTGAACATTTCTCCTTTGTAGGTAATCTCTTCATTATCACCAACTTTAATAGAAGCCGTAGCTTCGTTGAACCATTGATATACGTATGGTTTGGCGACAAATGCTAATACAATAAAAAATATATAAAATTAATTCATTATGTATAGCTATAAATAAAAATATCATAATTATTTTTACCTTGTACAATTTTTTTCAAAAAATAAGGAACCTCATTTAACACATCAATCTTATCCATCAGAATTTTTGGTTTAATTTCTATTCTTGCAGTAAATCTTTCTTCTGTATCTAAAGTCCTTCCTTCCCATGTATATCGAATTCGATTAGGGATATGATAACCGGTTTCTTTATCTAATGAAGTTTGCATAAATTGGGCCTCATTGTTCACCGACACACCTACCAATTTATTATTTAAAATTAAACCTCCTTGATTAACCTTTATACTTCCGTAATGAGGAGTGGTTTCAAATTCACACATAGTTAAAGAAGCGATATCAGAATGAAAACTAACAAAATTCCAACGGGAAGCGATCAAGTGTGGTCTCATCCCTTGAATTGCATGAACAAATAAGCCAACTCCTGAAATATCAAAAGCTTTGCCATCGACGACAATGTTGCCTTTAACAATGCCTTTTGGCCAAAATTTATGTTCGACAAACCCTGTTGACTTATCTTGACCGAAATAAGTCTTGCCACCACCAATTTTAAAACCACGATCCACTCGTTCGAATTCGAAAGAGACAATTAACTCTTGTTCGTGTGTAAGAGTGACAGTATATTTATTACATTCAGGATTGAGAATGATGGACATATTATCAGCCTGAGCTGAACGTCGATCTGGTGATAATTTGAAATTGGACATATTGACTGATTTAAAAGTATTAATTCCAGCTCCAAAGAAACGAGCGGTAAATTGAATTGTTGGATTCCACAAGCTATAAGCAACCGGTTTATTTTATTTCGAATTATTGAAGGATTTAAACAACGTAACCAGCGATTCAGATATTCACGTACCCAATGTTGGAGTGAATCATTTGGACAAATGAAAAATGACCTTCATTGGTTACCAGATAAAATGTCTGAGTTTCGGTAGAGGCACCAGCTGCTAAAGTCCATTCGAGATCTTCAGGAGAAACCTCAGAATAGAGATTATCTCTTGCCAATTCACTAGCAATATAGAGATTTTTCGACATCCCAATGACTAGAATTATATATTATTATAATATAAATATTTAATTAATTAATTTTAAGATAACTAAAAAAAAAATTGGTACCAGATTCAGACTAAAAAAAAAAAAAAGAAGGTTTCTTGACGGTAACAAAAACTAGAGATTACACTATTTATATGATAATTTGGTCCAATCAGAAATACATTGGGTCTCGTGAGATGAGAAGCGCGAATTATCATCAATTTTAAACCCAATAAAGGCTATTTGATCATGATAAATTATTTCGTGAGAATTGTCTTTATCGTTATATTAAAATTTTATTTATCATCAGAAATGGACTAGTGCGTGTCGACCAAAGTTGCCAACTAAGTCGTCGGCTTAGTCAAATTTATAAATTATGCACAGTGATTGGATTAAGAAGCTAATTTCGAGATTGATTAATCACATGAAATTGAATACCTTTTTATACACTGATTATGACCAAGGAAAACTACATTAAAAATTTTGTGAAAAAAGAATTAATATCGAATCTTCATAGTAAGTGGTTTGCTCGTTATTCTGCCAATAGGCAGCACCAGGTTAAGACCTACTGGTACAATAATATAACATTCCTCCATGTGTTATATTGATGCATCTCTAGCTTTTAAAATTTAGTCAACGAAATCAAAGTATATTATTTTAAAGTTTTAATGTATAATAAATATTACAAAATACTGTATAAGTCAAAAAGAAAATCAGTATGAATTAGATAAAAGTATTGAAACGATAGATTTAACAACTAAAGAACCTTTAGCTTGTTTATCTATAATAAACATTTAAACCGCCTAGATTGAACCTAGATTGTCTAAAGTAACTGCAGTTGAATCTGAAATATCCGACTTGTCAAATTTCAACGAATCTGTTTTGAAAATGTTATTTAGCGAAGATAAAATGGTGATACATTATATACGTACGTATAACATATGTATATCCAGTGTTGGCAATTTTTTGCGGCTAAACAACTTTTTTGGGCTTTTGCGGGTAGCAATCAATGGCCAATAGCTAAACTTCGGCCATTTGTTTCTTACTTATATAATCATATTGCTAACTTTTTTGTATGAATATTTAGCCATTTCGACCAAATAAATCTTTTTGCACAATTTGGCCATTTGTCGCGGCCATTGGCTGGCCAAATTGTCATACGTAGGAATAGAACTATTGTAGAAACTGAATTCCAAGTTGATATGAATCTAAAAAGCAACCTAATTGTCATATTATAGCATATAAACTCGTAAAATTATTTAACCCCGGATAGTCCTATCTCTATAACTCTATATCAAATTGGCTTTGTAAACCGTAATATATATGGGGTTTGCACTAAAAAAACTCCAACTGATCAGTGATCTTAAATTTCGGTATTTTACAGTATCTGAAGTGCATTAAGGCATGACGCCTATAAATGATTTACAACATACGATAATTATGACGCAATACTATAGAGTTACTGAATCATCAGAATGACTCGAGTTATTTTGATGACATTATCAAATAACAAAGTTATTTGATAATGATGCAATCATCATCAAGTTATTCTGTTGGTACGATCATAGTAGCTGCCGTTTATTCTTTCAATTAATAGTCGTTATCTGTATGATCAGAAATATCAAGATCCTATTTCAGCATAAAAACTATTCAAGAATAAAATCCATTTGTAATTATATAACGATAAATATTAAATGTTTATTGAATTAAACAATACCGTATCGGTATTTACTAAGTTTAGATAACTCTGTCCAATACATGATAACGTAGTTGGTCGATATATCCACGAACAGGTTCGCATCTGGCGCTGAAAATGTTATTCTCTTTTCAAGTATAGATCGTTTACGTTTTTATATCTTTAAATATAGTTATTAACCGTTTATATAAGGTCCCTTATTTATTTTCATTTACTATGAACATTCTTCTAATGGCAAGAGAATAACATTCTAAGTTTTTTTGTAGATGCATATACGTACAAGTTTGTAAAAATCTTGATTTTTGTTAACGCGATCTTGTAAAAATCTCGATTTTGTGAGAGCAGTGCATACAATCCCGTAAAAATCTTGATTTTAGTTATTAAAAAAAACATTCTTTTTGGAACTACAACAATGGATATGAATTTTCGTGAAGTTACGTATAACATATAATTAAATTTTTTACGACTATACTATTTTATATATCTTATTTGAATGTATACAGTAACAGCAAAGTACTGTGTTTAAATGCGCATAAGAATATTAATATATTAATATAGTATATTTAATACGTACAAGATTTAAACTTGCTATTTTATTTCGAATCCGAATGAATACGTATGGTAAAATTGAGACGCAGGTAAATTAAAGTTCCTTCCAATAATATATATTATGAATTATAAACTCAAGTGCGATTGTGGTAGTATGTTACACCACTACTTTACTAGACCGCACTATTCGAATACGTACCAAAAATTCAAAACAAGTGGAAATGATATTAAATTGCATGCAATTTTCGTAATTATTGCATCGACCTGGTGCAGGCCAGTGCGAAATTAACTATACGTAACATAATTCTCAGTATTTGCATTATGACAATTATTCGTCATATCGCTCGCTCTAAATCAAAGAGTTTTGTATAATTATTTTCGTCTTGATGAGACGAATCGAATGGTATAAGAATCATTAGATTCCAGTTGATAAACCAACTTTTAACTTCAATTTTCATTTTTATAATATATACAGTACTTTTTTTTTATTAAACATATAATTGATGTTAAATCACTTTTATTTTTAAACTATCATATTTCTTTTATTCATATTTAATACGTCTACTATACTATATACTACATTTCTTAAAATTTATTTACACACCATTTATTCTGTTTCTTATTTCATAAATTATTTAACTATGGTACAAATTTTAACCCTTTACATCAAGATTAAATCTCCCTTCCTAACACCGTTTTATAATTAATTTCAGTATCTTTAACTTCAACTATACACTGTTAAACTACCAGTGACCATCTTTTTTATGCTATATCTATTAAATTTAATTATTTCTTATAAATACATAATTTATATTAACTTAATAAGATTTATAACTTTCTACAAGTCACTCTCATTATAGTGAAGTTGTTGGGCTGAAAAATTTTCTTCACTATATCAAGATATTCACTATATCGAAAACTCTT